GAAACTAAAAAAAAAAAAAAAAAAAAAAAAAAAAAAAACGAACACCTAAGCAATAGGCCTACCTTAAATTGAAGGTCTATACATGCATGTGGCTTCCCAAAACAGTTTTGCATTAAACAAACAAACAAACAAACAAACAAAATATTAACAATATTAAATAAATACATAAATACGTAAAATAAAATTAAATTAAGTTAAATATAATTAAATAGAAAATAAAAATAAAATAAAAATATAAAATAAAACACAATAAAACAGTTCATCAAAATTTGATTTTAGATGGGACATCTCTAATACCAAATAGACCTTAATATATGCGAAAGAGAGGGCTGGCAGAGCTGCTAGCTGTCCTTTATAATTCCAGTTAATTTCACCTGCTTTGAATTTGTTTACTTGTACCATAATATTTACCTGCATACCTGATCCCAGCCTAGTTATGTTAACAGCACGCTGGCTTGGGACGTAAACTGTGTACACACTTATGGGGAACGGCTATAGCTCACCAGATAGTCTTGGAGCTGTAGGAGATCTGAGAGAGAGAGAGAGAGAGAGAGAGAGAGAGAGAGAGAGAGAGAGAGAGAGAGAGAGAGAGAGAATTTCCTGGAAAAACGGGTGAAGGGATAGAGAATAAAAGAATGAAGAAGGTTAAGGAATTTAGCATTCTATTTTCAAATTCGCATGCCGGATTTCCACACCCCCTAAAGGGAAATTGGCTGCAGTAGCTCGGAGTCCGGACCAAAAACAGCGAAAGACGCCCCACACTGACACAAAAATACTATATCTATCTACCTTGTCATCAGCATGTGTGTGTGTGTGTGTGTGTGTGTGTGTGTGTGTGTGTGTGTGTGTGTGTGCGCGCGTGTGTATGGGTGTTTGTGTTTATGTGTTCGGGGCCATTTGTTGCATTTTTCTTTTTCGTAATAACGAACTTTCTAATTCAGTTTCTCTAAAAGGATTCAACATGTCGCTGAGAAACGAAAATTTACAAAATATGAAGACTGAAGACAAAAAAGACCAAAAAGACCGTAATACATGTATAGTAGTACANATGTGGAATCATTTCTCATCACTTCTTACCACCTTTATAATCATCAGAATCGTTATAAATTAAATTTTAATTTTCTTTCAAACTGTAACACCATGAAACTGAGTCTAACATAATGATGGAATAAATAACAATTTTCCTCTGCACTTAGGTTACCTCAAATGCTTTGTTTTTTTTTTCTTTTATGATAAAATAAGACTATTCTTCAAATTTTTTCTATGGGTTATGAATTCTGAACAGAAAATCACATTCATTCGAACAGTCTTCCCAATACAATGTGACAACATTAAACCGTTGCAATACTTTGCAGAGTTTTCATTAGTATTAACAGGGAAAGATGTTTAGGAAGCAGACACTTAGTTGCAATCCCCTCATGTAATCCATACAATATCTCACATCACATTATAATAAGAGCATGTTTAAAGAATTATAGAGAAAATGTGGAGCAGGAGAAGGCAATCACTTACTGGTTTCTTCAAATGTGGACTTGAATATTTCTGTTTTTTTAAAAACCTATAAGCACACAGCTTTAGGTCATCTTATAGCCATCAAAATAAATAAATAAATAAAAATGTGGAGAAGGTCCTTTCCTTTTAAAGACAAGAATTTGTATGTTAAGTCCTGAATAAAAGAGGGCGCCAGTGAAGTCTTACGATGCCCACATTTCTAGCTCTGCTAGATCATCATCTGCATCTGCCTGGGCTTTGCCTGAAGAGAAGAGAGGAGAAAATTTGATCATAGCAGTGCTGTATCACATCTTAATCACAAATGCACAATACAGTATAGACTGTTTGCTCCAAATACTGGACTTTATCTATCTTTACATTTGCTTTGAACATACTTGCTAAAACATTCAACTCAAAGAAAGATTGTAAGTCAAAAGAATGCTTCACTACAGCACTGTCATTGTTTTAAGGCAAATATTAAAATCCTCTCTATGTGGTGAATATTCAAGTTTTCATGAGATATACAAGCAGGGTATGGGGAGTCCAAAAATGTTGATCTGTAATTTGGTCACTGATTTACGGGGAGTCCAACTACAAAAATACTGTCACTCCCCCAAATTCATAAGCCGTCAAACAGTCTTTGACAACAGATGTCAACTTTTGATGTTAGTAGCCATCCAAATGACTGCTTGGGCCCTAAAGATAAGACCCAAATAATTTTCCCTACCCAGTGCCCTACATGTAACTGCATCTAAATGTTTTATGCAAGCAAGAAAATTCTGCATCCCCCCCCTCCCCCCCCAGCAAAATCCTGGATGTGCCAATGGACTACACCTTACCTTTGCTCTTGGCCACAGGTGCTGTTATGGGAACTAAAGGTAACTGACCCCCCCCCCCAAAAAAAAAAAAATAAATAAATAAATAAATAAAAAAAATAAAAAAATAAAAAAAATTTGATGTGGCCATGGACTACACCTTACCTTTGGTCTTGGCCACAGGCTCTGATACAGGAACTGAAGGTAACTGATCTGTGACTGGACCACCAACTTCTAATAACTGAGCATCCAAATCCTCCTGCTCCAGCTCTTCCAGTTCTGCCATTAGCTCATCCTGATATTAAGAGTACACAAGTTAAGGCATGTGAAAAAAAGGATTGATGATAATAATAGAAACTCAAACTGGGTCTTAACAGGGCTTTATGTATTTCTTGCCTTTCAAGCAATGTTATTATTAAACAAAACAGTAAAAAAAATTCATTTCCTCATTAATTAACTTGAAATGGCTGAAAAACATTCTTGTAAGAAAATGATGGTGTATTCATAAGAATGCCATCATCAATTCATTAAATAAAAGTATTTTTTTAATTGCTTTGTCCAGTGCTATTTTTAAGAAAGCAGGTCATTAAGCACATTTTTACTTTAAAAAGTCAAATATTGGGGTTATAAAGGCCACTGAGAGCATGATAATAAATAACACAATATTGGTGTTTATTGGGTTATTCAGTACGATTGCAGAAGGAGACAAGCAAGGAAACAAATTACGTCCAATCAAATTATCACCAGTTGGCAGCTGCGGGATCAATCTGTGCCTACATGAAGGGGGTTGTTGTCTGGACAGATGTAAAATCAATACAGGATCACATAATGCTAAATTTGGAAATATTATATCACTGGCCCATTCTACAGATATTGACCTGCATCAAGCCATTATGTATATTGAAGAAACTGCAGTCATTCAATACTAACTCTTTGGATGATTTTTCAAAAACCTTTGTCTGTCATATAAATCCAAACAATTGTGATTATTTTTTTGTCTCGCTAATATAAATTCTTAAAATTTACAGTAAGGGAAGGTGCAATGCAAATCATACTGTGATCACTGCTCTATATCTAAAAGTATGTCATACCCCATTTATATAATTCAATTGCCAATATATCAAGAAACGATCAAAATTTTCGTTTGTATCGTTTAGACAAAGCCAATAAGCCAATGCATTCAGTTCTGCTCCTACCTCATCAACATCTGTACCAAAGCCAACAGGATTTGAGATGGCTTCTGAAATTTCATTGGCTATGTCTTGCTGCTCTGCGACTTCATCCATCAAATCATGGACCTTGTCAACATCCCTGGGGAGCAAAGCAACTAATCAAAACACAATCACTTGATCAAATCAGCGTGCCAGGGTTGAGGACTGCAGAGGCTGAGAAAACATGCAGATAATAGCTGAAGATGTTTTTTCATTCCCCTTTTAAATTTACTTATAAATGAAAGATTGCCCAATTTAAGCTTTTGGAATTGACAGTGCATATTGATTTAGAATTTAACATCAGCTGAAGACTATGTCACAGACATGAGGCTAAGGAGGTCATGAATGTTTTCTCAGACTTAAATAGAAAGTCCATGTCAAAAATGTTTAAATGGATGAAACTCCACCCAATCCATCAAGATACAGTATTTTTTGACATGATCTCTCTCTACAAATAGAAAAGTAAAACAAAGTGGGGTGCAATAATGGAGGAGAGGTGTACTTGCAAGCTATATCATATACTGCTTCCATAGAACCTGGGCACACTTTAACGCAACTTCCAATGAGCCATTCAACATTTTTTTTGGTCGAAAAATATTTACATAAATATAGAAAACAGTTAACGAGGTCCAGTTATTCATTTTCTCTTAAACCAAAATACAATATTCTACTTACTGGCTAAGTAGTACTACTAGTATATGTTAAAGTGCACCCAGATGGGTCTATATTGTAGACCCGAGTTACCAGCTCACTTACTTGATCAATGTCTTGCCCAAACCCAATGGGCGATGCTATAGCATCATTTACTTCATTAGCCAAATCCATCTGCTCACCAATGTCGTCCATCAGATCGTGAACTTTATCAACATCCCTGTACACCATACACATTATAATACCAACAATATTCTACATAGTTTTATATCATGGCAATTTTTTATTTAAAAATAAACAGTACTTTTTCCCCTGTCTTTGTTAGTAGGCTTGTTAAGGACCAAAAAATGGCCAAACGCTGCATTTTGTAGTACAAATGTCTAACTTGGCATAAATGTTCCTTGGGCCAAAAGAAAATTTTTTATCCAAAGAGACGCCCTCTATCGATACATTAATTAGCATAAATTATGCAAATTATGTGCCAAAATATATAATATTTCATATTTCCATTAATTTTTGGCCTAGAAACATGTATAGATTATCAAACCTGACTAAATTAGGGACAAGGAACCCATTTTTGATCATTTGGAAGCTATTGGTGGCCATTTTGTGCCTCAAATCCAAGATGGCCGCCACCCGCCATTTTGAAAGTGGACATAATTTTGCTATTTTATGTTGAATTTTGAAGCGTTTGGTCTA